TTATGCTTTTTTTATAGGCTCCTTAATGTAATGATTCACTACATAAAATATGTTCTCTGAAGAATTTCATATATGGCTTGAGGGAAATAATGTTTACCTGAGAGTTAACAGTCTAGTACATTTCACGGGTCAGGAAGCGACTCTTGATGTCGAGCTGGTGAGGTGAGGATGAGCCAGGGGCGTTCTGTGAAGAACCTGACGGAGTCGGCCAGGTCCTGTGGGTGAGGGTGAGAGGAGAAAGCTTTGTTTTGCTCCTTAGGTGCTGTCGGCCAGGAGGGAACCCAAGATCATGCAGTGGGCAAAATGGAAAGTAATCCACTGTGTTTATCGAGACCTTTATTTTGAAATTGGTCAGTGAAAGCTTGTTTTCTTGTACCTCTTCTAATAGTAAATTTGGCTAGTTCTGATCTCCATGTACGGCATTAAGGTATTACTTGGCTCAAACAGGATAGTAGTACATTTGTTTAGAAATTCGAGGCATTTCACAAGCATATTGATAACTATATTACAGTAGGTTTTTTTTCATTAATTTCAACAAATATTTGTTAAATGTTTGCTATGTACCAGGTTTTGTTTTAAGCTTATGGGCTACTGCAGGAAATAGAACAGACAAAAGCTCTTGCTCTGATGAAGCTTATATTCTAGCATGGGGGAGACAGATGAATAATAAATGTAACAAGGAATTATGCAGTACGTAAGAAAGGTGGTAAGTTGCACTGAGTAGGGAAAAATCAGAAGTGCCAGTATTTGGTAGTTGAGTGGCAGTTTTAAATAGGGTAGTCTGATAGAGCCTTATTGAGAAGGCGATACTTGAGCAGAGATTCAGCAGAGGTGAAGCTAGCTGGGATGAAAGTATTCTAGGCAGGGGAGAGACCGATGCACAATTTCTAAGCGGGAGTATGATGGACTCATCTGGTGACTCAGAAGGAGACTGGTGTCTAGGATACAGTGAAGACAGGAGAGAAGTAGTGGGAGATCTGGTTAGGGAGGTGATGCCTGACTACGTTAGACACTTGTAGTTCACTGTAAGGAACAGATGGTCCTGTATGTCGTTTATATTCTATATTACATTCAGAACTAACATAAAGGAGGGGAAAGGTAACATTCGTTGAATTTCTGCTATGTTTTTTCATTCTGTAGATATTTTTCAGCATCTTCTATGTGCCATTCATTGTGCTAAGTGAAGGGAAGACAGTAAAACAAAAATTAGCCAGTTTGTGGAGATTGTCTTAACTCTAGTGCAAATCATTGTGTGTGTGCGCTAATCATTGTACCTGATACTTTAAGTATATTCTCATGTAATTCTAAGTATTTCGTTTAATTCTAAGTATCCACTTAAGATAGACAGTATTGTTAACTTGGATTACAGTTGACGATAACGAGGCTAAGAAAACTTTGTCATTTTTCCGACGTTGCACAGTCAGTATGTGATAGAGTGGGATTCGAACTTGATTTTGTCTTTTTATTATACCGTTGGTTCCCAAATGTGGCTGTGCATCAGAGTTAACTAGGAGGTTTATTAAAGCTGTAGATTCCTCTGCAAATTCTGGTTTAGCGTATTTGGCACAAAGCCCCAGGAATCTGTATTTTTCGTAAACACTCTAGGGATTCCAGTGTTTTAGAACGCTAGCCTCCAATACCATATTTATGGTAGTGTGACAAGTAGCGATGTGGCATCCTTATCTTGTTCTTATTTTTAAGAAAAAAGATTTTACCCTTTTACCATTGAGTATCATTTTTGCTGTAAGATTTTTGGAGATCTTCTTTTTCAGAGTAATGATTTCCCTATTCCTAGTTTGCTAAGAATTGAGTGTTGAATTTTAATAAACTATTTCCACTAAGTTTTCCCTTCAGTTTTTTTAAGGTCACGGTTAATATAATAGGTTTTCAAATACCGAACCAGCTTGTATTCCTGAAGTAAATACAACTTGTTCATGATGTATTCATTTTTTAGAATGTTGGTTTCAGTTTTCATGTTTTTTTAAAAAGTTTTTTATAATCTCTTTGAGCTTGTGTTTAATATTCCATTCTTACACTGTTCTCGGTTTGATATCAGGGTGATAACAGTCTCAGAAAGTGGGAGAGAATGTTTCCTCCTTTTCTGTTCTTTGGAGACTGTCATGTTTTCCTTAAATGAACTCGTAAAATCATCTAGAAGTTTTTTTTGCAATGGTTTGATATTCAAAAGGATTATAAAGCCATCCAGGATTCCTGATTTTCTAGCCAGTGCATTTATATTTTTCTAGGAATTTATCCATTTCAGTGAAGTTGACGAACAATACTTTTCTTTTTAAGCTGCATTTATATGTGCCCTCTTTTTTATTTTCAGCATTGTTTATTTCTGCTTTCTTTTTCTTGGTTAGTTTTGCCAGTGGTTTGTTAATTTTATTGATCTTTTCAAGAACCAACTTTATGCTTTTATCTTATTTTGTCTTCATTTTCTATTTCTGGTAAGTCGTTACTGTTTCCTTCTTTTGTTAGATTATTCAGTTATATTTTTCTAAATTCATAGTTTGTGGTTTGTATTTCCTGAATTAGCATCCCAAGCTATAACTTTGGTGTAGCAGGTTTTGAAAAGTAGCATTTTCATTATTCTAAATAATTTTTAATTTGCATTTAGATATTTCTCATTTTTTCTAGTTATCTTTTTGTCATTGACTGGTGTTAACTCAGTTGTCCTGTGACCAGAGCATGTGGCCTACATGATGCAAACTCTTTGACCCCCCCGGGCACGCTTGTGTGTGAGGCGAGGGCCTTTGCTTTTGCTCCGCCCTCTCGCGGACGCCTGTGCCCCAGATCTGTGCAGCACTCACTCTTGTTCAGGCCCGGACTGAAGAGTCTCCTCAGGCCACCTACCTAAAACTTCGCGTGTCCTCTTCTACTTCACGTTGCTCTCCCATGCTTTCGTTCACACTTAGCACTTCAAGATGCCATCTAACCTGCTCCAAACCAGACAGGGAAAGAAGGGAAGCCATTTGAGGGTGTGCGCCTGTGCCAGGGGTAGAAAAGGAAGAAATATAAGCTGTAGGAGAAGGGAGGGGTCGAGTGTCTGGTGTGACCCGCTGTGAGGCTGTGTGGGTGACAGTGGCCAGTGGGAGTCAGGGTCGAGGTCAGCGCAGGGCTGGGCAGGGCAGGGTTACTTCAGCGGGATATGGCGAGGGTGAGGACGAACACCAGTCAAGGCGAAGCTAGGGTTTCGAAGGGTTCTGGACATCGCCCAACATGCCGGCAGCGTTAGATCAGTGAAAGTGACTTGAATGTCAGAGTGTCCACCTGCTGTTCCGAGCTGCGTGGTGCACTAGCCCTCGGTGAGTGTCCTCTGGCCTCTTCCTGTGATGAGAGAAGGGATCGGGGTTTTCTCTCTTGGTCCCTTTTGCGCGGTTCCCTTCGGTTCTCTTGTGTGTTCAGGGTAAGGAGGCCAAGGTGGAGGGCAGGCCTGGGCAGTGTGATAGAAACAGCCTGGATAGAAATCTCATCATGCAGTTGAAGAAAGGATTGGCTGCTTAGATGCAGGGTTCCTGCCGGAACCAGAGCAGCCTGTGTAGTTTGTCTTGGACTTTCGGATTTCATGGCCTCTTCAGGAAATAGTGCTTTCGTTTTTGATGTTTGTTTACGTGGGTTTTTTTTTTTTTTGCCTATATTTTTGCCTACAAATGTTTATTTTTTTTTTGTAAGCAAATATTTTAGGAAGCTATAATGTCTGTTTTAGTTGAAACTAGTGTTTCACCTAAATGTCTCTACTCTATTCTTTACAACATTTTTGTTGCAAAGTGGCAAATTTGCAACTTCGTTTTCTCATTTGCCTTGATGGCTCTAATCCTCTTGCTTAGAGAACATTTTCTTCTGAATAAAGTGGTTGCTTTTGCTCCGCCCGTCATTAATTGAACAGTGGGAACAGCTGACGTGACAGTGTGTCCATCGGTCCCTGACTTTCCTCGTGCTGCAGTCACTTCCCCTGCCCCTTTGGTGTTACTGTAGTAGTTTTTTGTTTGTTGGGTGTTGTTGTTTTCTTTGTTCTTAAAGCTTTTGAATTGATATGTAGTAAAATAACTAATAGTGCTTGGTTGGTAGATAGTCAAGAAATTGAGCTGTTCTATCTGCCATCTTCTAGGCTTATGGCATAATGTTGTGCTAAACAGCTTAATTTTTGAAGCAAGGTTTACTGAAGCTGATTTGTTTTGTCCTGATTTGGGGGGACAATATCATTATTTCATACTGGAGAAATAAGTAATGTATAAGTAGCACTGCTTCTTTGTGTACATTATGTAGAGTTTCTCTATCCTTATGTTTGGTGAGACTATTTTGTATGTATATTGGGCTCTTTACCCAGAATCCGTCAGGAAGTTGCGTGAGGCTTCCATGAAGACCAGATGTTACCGGAAAGCTTAGGGAGAAGTTGCTGATTGATGCCATGTTATTTACAGGACATCAGAAGGAGAGGAAAAATAAAATTACTTGAACTCTTAAGTTATAAATTTGAAATGTAATTGTTTAGAGTAGGCATTTGGGCAGGTTAATCTTTGATTAGAAAGTAGAACTATTAGGTTGCTTATTTTAATAACATTTTAAGATCCTTGGGTTGAGTCTTTTTAATTTTTAAAAGAACCTTATAATTTTACAGTTGGGACTTTAGATGTGCCAGCACGACACATAGTACTTGTATTTTCCTCATTAAACGCTAGAACCTGGAAACACCAAACCGAAGGCAGTCCAGGACAAAGGTGAAGAAGTATCCATTAACATGGGTGAATGAATAAGCCAGCTGTTTTGCTGTCATCGGTTTTCTGAGCACTGACACACTGGTTTTAATTGTTGAATCCTTTTGTTTTTAATTCAGTGCTCTCCATAAATCTTCTTCCGTCTGACTTTGTTAATGGTTTGCACAGGGGTCCTAAGTAAATATGCAGAAGTGCAACTTGGTCGTTTGGGAAACAGTACGAGATTGGTGGATGATTTACAGGTGTTCTCAGATGTCTAACATATCTGTTCTTCTCTTGCAGGAAATTGAAAATGGGCCTTCAGCTATGCTAGGTCTATAATGGGAAGCATCACAGTTCGATATTTCTGTTATGGATGCCTCTTTACATCTGCTACCTGGACGGTTTTGCTTTTTGTTTATTTCAACTTTAGTGAAGTGACTCAGCCACTTAAGAATGTGCCCATCAAGGGGTCTGGGCCTCACGGACCATTCCCCAAAAAATTCTATCCCCGTTTCACTCGAGGTCCAAGTCGAGTGTTAGAATTACAGTTCAAAGCAAACAACATTGATGGGGTGATAGATAACCGTATTGAAGACCCAGAAAGAGGCAACGCGAAGCTCTCTTCTGAGTTGGGTAAGTGTATTTGATTTTTGCCAGGACCATGTCAGAATATTTAATCTTTGGAAGTTTAATTGTTCTTTATATCGCGTGTTGCTCATGGGATTAGAAATGTCATTTTTTCCCCACTTTTTTCATTCACGAACTAGCTGAGGTCCTTGTAGTTTCCGCAGACTCGGAGGAGTTATATTCTAATATGTCCAGTTTTGACTTCAGTATTTTATGAGGACTTGGGAGAAATTATAAGGTCCAGAATAGAAAAACAGTGAAAAATTAAATACCCGGAAAGACAATGGAACCTAAGTGGGAAGATTTTAATTGCTGTCGCTGTTTAATAAGGGAAAGAAATGGCTGAAAGATGACTCTAACATCTTTTGAAAGGCACAGAGTTAATGAAAACAACATAAACTACTGGGTTTAGAAATAAATTGACAGTACGTATAGCTAGAGCTAGCATTGCTACTTGTAAGAACTGTTAAGGTGCTAGAATATATTAAACATAGGAATTTATAAAATCTGAGTATAAAATAGAAACTTTTTCTTCAAAAATTATATTCTGTTCAATTTGGTAGCAAGACTCTACTGTATATGTCTTTGAATATTATAATTCTAGAGTATGGGTTTTAGCAAATTTTAAGGGATAAATGAGCCATTTTGGTGTCAACGTAAGAAACGTCCAAACCTGCAGGGAACTTTTACGAGTTTATCTGAGCCAAACTGACGATTGCCGGGAAGCAAAATCTCGGTGGGCTGAGCAAATGCTTGGGAGACGGGCGGTTTTGCAGCTCAGTTTGCGCATCGGGATCAGAGGAGGGAGGAGAGGTAAGGAGCGGCACACGGGATCCATTGGTGGTAGATTCAGGAGGCGGAGAAGGCAAAGGGGGGACCCCTGGGGTTGGATGAAAAGGAAGAGGGAGAGGCGCACACTTCTTCCCCGCGGCGGCTACGGGACGGTCCATACGTCGCGTCCGCGGCACAGAGAGATGGCGTGCGGCAAACGGGATGACGGTGACGGCTCCGCGGTCTCCTCTGGCGCCGTGGTGTGCCTGAGGGGCCTGGAAAAGGTCCCTCTGACATCCCGGGGTCTGTGATCCTAGATGCAGAAAGACAGTAGGCTCAGTTAAGGGAAGGACGGACCTTCGTCAAGGAAGCTATAGTTCCAGGCTATAGCCGTGACTACCTGCCACGGCCGCTTTTAGTTAGGAACTTGCATGTTTAGACCACCGCGTGTGGCTCCTTTCAGTCTCTAACTTTGTGGGGTCTTCCGGACTGGCTCCCCTGAGCTTGTCAGGTTTCGTATGTGGCCCCCTTTTCATCCACTATGGTTTTCTTTAAAACTTAAAAAAACCCAAAAATCTTTGATCTTGTTACGGAAGCGTCAAATAATAAGTAATGGGGAGTAAAAGCATATAGTAAGACATTTTGAGAGATTGAAGGATCCATAGACTGTAAAGGAAATGTTAAACATTTTTTTTCATTTGAGCACAGTTTCAGAGAAATAAAAGTTTCTAAGAGTTAATTTTCTAATACACAAAATTAAAAATATTTAATATGAGGAAATAAAAGCGAATACTTGAATTTTCATAAAATAACACCTAATCTCTTTCAGATAGCCATTTAGACATTTTCTAGTCTTTAAAATTCATAGTTATTTTGGTAAAACTTTTATAAGGAAGTCACATCGGGTTCACCGTTTTGGACGGACATCTTATTTGCCATCCCGAGGTGCTTCCTCCCACCTTCCTGGCACTGTCCTCAAACTGCCTCAGATTCCAGCGGAAGAAACTGCAAACTGCTCCCCTCAGAAGCATTTTTCTCAGTCTGTTGGAATCTCGCTTCCACGTGTATCCTTTTCTGACTCAAAGTTTTATAAAAATTCTCTACAGGTTTGGATGTTTCTTATGTCGACAAATTTCATATTAATTTTCGAATCAGCTTTTCCGTGGGGATTTTGATAACGTTTGCATTCAGTCTGGACTGCTCTGGGAAGCATTGACATCGTTAACTGTATTTAGTATTCCAGTCCATAAACCTGGGCTGTCTTTCCATTTATTTAGATTTAGATCTCCTTTTAGTTTTTTTCAGCAGTGTTTTGTAGTTTTTAGTGTACAGATCTTGCACTTCCTCTGTTAAATTTATTCCTAAGTATTTTCTCTTGGATGTACCATAAATGGAATTGTTCTCTTAATTTTATTTTCCGACTGTTCATTACTACTGTACAGAAACAGAACTGTGATCTGGTACCTTGCAGCTTTGCTGAATTCATTTATTAGCTGTATTAGTTTTTTTTGTGTGTATTCTTTCGTATCTTCTATAATTTAGCTGTTCAGGCAATTTGGGTTTGTCACTTCAGATAGCTACAATCTCTCACTACTTTCAATGGCAAATGAAATGTCCATTCAAAATGGTAAACCCAATATTACTTCCTTATAAAAGTTTTACCTAATAACTATGAATTTAAAAAACTAGAAAATTTCCCATTAATGTTCTTAAAATGCCTAAATGGCTATCTGAAAAAGATTAGGTGCTATTTTATGAAAATTGAAGTATTAGCTTTTGTTTCCTCATATAAGTTTAAATATTTTTGACTTCATGTATTAGAAAATCATTAACTCCTAGAAACTTTTCTTTGAAACTACGATCAAATGAAAAAAATGTTTTAACATTTCCTTTATAGTCTGAGGATCTTTCGATCTCTTAAAACCTCTTATTACATGCTTTTACTCCACATTACTTATTATTTGATGCTGTATGAGGAGGACTTTCTTAACTATGATGCTGATTAAGTCTGGAACCAATGGCTTTTTATAGAAAGATTTATCAAGTCTTTTTTAGGGGAGGGGTTCATATAAACTCTTGCCTGTAATTGGGACCTACTGAGGTCTATATGGGTTCTATAATTATTGCTTTTATGAAAAAGATCATCAAGTCTCTCTTGTTGGTCAGAGTTAAGTTTTTCTCTTGAAAATATTCTTAAAGAGCATGGCTAGTAAGAAGGTGTCATTTATAGTTAAGGTATACTTGCTTTTTTGAGCTGGGCTGATAAAAACTTGGCTTTAACCCCCTTTTTTTTGAAAATGGAGACACAGATTTGTGAAACGTGGCTATTATAAGAGGTTAAAATCAAGATTTTTATTACGATCCTAACAGTAATTGTAGTAACTGTCCTTTGCAGATTAATGCACTGACTGTAACTTTACTCTTTTGCAGGCATGATATTTAATGCACATGATCAGGAGTTGAGAGACTTGGGGTATCAGAAGCATGCCTTCAATATGCTTATTAGCGACCGCCTGGGCTACCACAGAGATGTGCCAGACACAAGGAATGCAGCGTATGTTCCTTAGTGGTTTCTGCTAATCGTTTTAGTAACACAGTGCTTTCAGTACCAGTAGAGTAAGTGATGAGGGTGCTTAGGCTTGATTATTCAGGATACTAGAAAACTGGACAGATTTCCACTCTTACTGCGCTTGAAGCCACGTAGTCTGGAGCCTGCCACGTCTTTTAAAAATTCTGTGGGAAAAAGGGGAGAGGCGCTAAGTGCATGAAATTAAATAGCCTTCTGAGCATAAGTTAGTTTTAAATGTGTATTGGATTCATGGCAAAAAGGATTAAACCAGTGAAGAATTTTACTCATCTCACTTTTCTGTTTTCATTATTTTTGATTCTTCAAAGGCTTTTCATTTGTATGGTTGATCAATCATTCATTCCACAGACAGACCTTTTTGAGCACCTTCTGTTCGCTAGATGCTGTATTAGGCCCTGGAAGTAAACAGTAAGACCCAGCCAGGTCCACAGGGCTAGGGCCCAGCAGGACTGCTGAATGAGGAAACGAGGGATTGGAGAGCCGCAGGACGAGGGCTGTGATGGGAACTGGTGAAATGGGGGCCCCCAGCCGGAGCTGTCCGGAAGCCTCCCTGGGCGAGGAACGACAGCAATGCCAGGGAATAGCCTGAATCCACAGGGTCTGTCGGAGCGACGGAAACCACTGACTCTCAGTCGTGGAGAATGGCGGGCGCTGGGCGGCGGGCAGGGCCCGGGCTCGGAAGGCTTCGCATGCCGTGCAAAGGGACGGGGGCTCCGGACTGTTCTCTCTTAGTTGGTGGGTTTTTGTTGTTGTCGTACAAAGCCACCTAACTCTTCGTCGCTTATAGGGAAGCTCTTCCATTATATTGATCTATGTATCATAGTTTACTTGAATTGTTTTCTATTTGAAGGGCAAAAAAACCCTTCAAGTACAGAGTTTTATGTTTATTTCCTTTGGAGACGTCAGTGAGGAGAAGCCGAACATCAGCTTACAAGTTTTTTAAATGTTGATCTAAAAATAAGTGGCAGGTATTGGAGGAAGAAATTATTAATAAATGTAAAACTCTTGAGTAAGAAGCCACATTATTTCCTTAAATGCATTTAAAAAATTGTTATAATGTAAGAGGCTGAACAAGGTTGCAATTAACGTTTAGTGAATAATAAAATGTGAGTCTTTTCTTGTATTCGTCTTTACAGGTGCAAAGACAAGACATACCCAGCGGATCTGCCAGTCGCCAGTGTCGTTATTTGTTTCTACAACGAAGCCTTGTCTGCTTTGCTACGGACCGTGCACAGCGTCCTGGACCGCACGCCGGCCCAGCTTCTCCACGAAGTCATCCTCGTGGACGACGACAGTGACTTCGGTGCGGCATGCGGTGACTGCTGGTGTGGGCACTCAGCGGCGGTCTCTGTAGTGTCGCATCTGCAGAGCTGACCATACGTAGTGGTGGGGGGACCTCATGCATGCAGTTGCCAGGGAGCCAACCATGGATAAATGCCTTTCCCTGGCTTGTAGGGTGCTTTTGAAGGAGCTGCATGCCCTTTGTAATCTTCACAAACTGTGCTACCCAAATGTGGCCTTTGAATTTTTCCCTTGCTTACCTTTTTTTAAAAAAAGTCTTACTTTGAAACCTCTATAGATTCACAGTAAGTTCCACAGAGGTCCTGTGTACCCCTTCACCTAGTTTTCCCCATTGATGACGTCTCACAGAATTACAGTGTCAAAACCAGGCATCTGACTTGGTGCGGAGTGTGTGTACAGTTCTGTGTCATTTAATGCCATGAATAGACTGCTGTAACCAGCACTGATCGAGTTACAGACCACTCCATTACCCCAAAGAGCTCCCTCATCCTGTTCCTTTACAGTCCCATCCACTTCCCTTTCCCCACCATCCTTAATCCCTGGCAAACCTGGTATCTGTCATTTCAAGAATGCTGTGTGCATGGAATTGTTCGTATGACCTTTCAAGGCTGACTTTTTGCACTTGGCCCAATGCCTCGGCTTATGTTCTAATGTCTATTAACGTTGAGAACTGCCTGCAGGCAAAAGCGGGTTAGTTCTGACAGCCCGTAGATGAGCTCTGAGGGCCACTGTGAGTCAGTACAGACTTTACACACCTCGCTTTAATTCAGCACAGACTTCTAAGAATGGCTCCACGTACATATGGCAAGGTGCAGGGCTTTTCATTTATGCTACTCATTCAGCTCTCCTCGACCTTGTGAGATAGGTCGTATCCTCATTTTACAGAGGAGAAAATAGTATGTAATTTCTCCAGATCCCATAGTTGTTCAGTGATGGAGTTGAAATTAGACCCTGGTCTGCACAGCTCCAGGCTTTCTGCTCTTGACATTGCAGTAAGCTGCAGCGATACACTGATAAACTGTATGCCAATCGCATATTTTTCATGACTCGTGTTTATTAAGCACCTTTGATGGTGACAACAGAGTTGGCAGACCAGCACCCTTAAATACACTAGTGGTAGTAACATCCTTAAACCTTGGTAAATATTATAATCTCACAGCAGAAAATTTAGAAAGGTTAATAGCAAACAAAACTTAATTTCAACACTGGATGATTAAAAAAAAAACTAAGAATCTGAGTCTGGGCCAAGATTGGCTAAATATTAGATTCTAGAATTTGTGGTATTGGGTTTTGTTTTTTTTTTTTTGAGTCAAAATTATAAGTAAGAAACAAAAACAGGTTATCTAAAAGGGAAATTCTTGATAATTTATAATGGTTTATATGTTAACTATGGAATAATTCTTACATGATCTTCAAAGTTATTAAACTTAGAGGTAAATGAGCTAAAATTTATAAAAAATACGTGTGCCCTTGGAAGGTGCTAAACTAATAAAAAGACATTTACTGCTGCTATTATGTAACTTCTGGTAAGAGCAATAGAAGTTGTTTCTTAACTTCTGAAATGGAGTATGACTTGACATTTCTCGTTTTCTTTGTTTTAAATCTGATTTCTATGCAGTCAGCTGAACATTTACTCACAATGTTCATTTCAAACTTTTTTATGCAAAGCAACGTGCTGGTTGCTTTGAGATACAAATAAGTTTATAACTAAGGTAACTATTTTTGGCTAGTATTCCAGCTCTTACCCTTCATTTCTTCCCCTTTTTTTCCTTATAGGATAATCTATGATCTTTAAAAATAAAGCACAAGAAGATTCTTTAATATTTACTTGACAATTTGTTGTTGCAAGTACCAGACACAACTTTAGAGTAGCTATAAAATGTCTTTGCATGTGTTTCATGTGGTTTAAATAATTACGAGACTCTTTATTTTCAGATGATTTGAAAGGAGAACTGGATGCATTTGTCCAGAAATATCTCCCTGGAAAAATTAAAGTCATAAGAAACAGGAAGCGCGAGGGACTGATTCGGGGAAGAATGATCGGAGCATCCCACGCGACAGGTACGCCTCCCCTTAGGGCTTCTTGTCCCCGAGCCTCCCATGGGAAGAGGTGTCTTAGATGGGCCTTGCAGCGGCAACGAGGCTCCGCTTCGTCTGAAGAGGCCGCTTCGGAGCCCCAGCCCTGTTGCCCAGGTCACGGCCTCCGAGGCTCTGCTGGCACAGTGGCCCTTTATGTGGCTGCCATGCAAGTAGGTCTCTTATCTTGTTCACTTACGTAAGCAGAAGAGTCTAGACCAAATGCAATTCAACTTTTGTAATTTATTAAATGCAAAATTTGAAATATATGTATCCAAACCGATTTGAATTATGCCAATAATTCTTAAAGTATGAATGCATACCACTGGTGACATGCATCATTTCTAGTTGGATAAATGGACACTTAAAAATCGACTTAGATAACTACAAGGTCATTTTCTTTAAATTTCCTCTTAATCCTTCTGATTCCATCAAGGAGAAAGTCTCCATTGGTACTGTATCTTTAAAACCTTTATCTTACACTGATCTCCCCCTAAGAAAGAACAACAGGTACCAAATTCAGAATGTTCTGGAAATGTATCTGGTTAGCCTTCAGTTTTATTGATTCCATTGTATTTTTATGGTTACCTCCATGTAAGATTGGAGATCCTGATTTTCATTTATAATTTTAGTAGAAAAGTTTTCCTCTTAAATTTAACTTAGTTTAGAAATATTAAATGTATAATACTGCACGTAGTACATGGATCTGGCCCCCAAACATCATGACGGTCATTTATTCAGGTACAGCTGCTTCAGTTTTATTGATTCCATTGTATTTTTATGGTTACCTCCATGTAAGATTGGAGATCCTGATTTTCATTTATAATTTTAGTAGAAAAATTTTCCTCTTAAATTTAACTTAGTTTAGAAATCTTAAATATATAATACTGCACGTAGTACATGGATCTGGCCCCCAAACATCCTGACGGTCATTTATTCAGGTACAGCTGCCAGTTCAGCCAGACGATGTATTTGCGTGGCATGAAATATAACCGCCGCCCTCCCAGCCCAAACGATTAAGCCATTACTTTATCCCCAGTCAGAAACACGGACGTGTTTTAGCCAGGAATTCTGCCTGAAGTGTATTTGTTAGGAACATACAAACAAATAATATACACAACTCTCGAAAAACGTGTGTGGACAATTCAGATTCTCCTCGGTAATTCTTTGGACAGCCAGGTACGGAGTGTGGTGCAGTGACAGTGGCCTGCTGTGTGTAGATGTTTTTATTACAGTTATGGCAATCGAACCATTTCCAAATTTTGGATACGTTTCCCCGCCTTGGGGCTGGAGCGCGTAACTGCGTTTTCATTGGTGACTCAGAAACATGGCTGCTCGTTGATCACTGCCGCAGCCTGGCAGCCGTGAGAGGCGCGCACCCTCCGGTTCACTGGTCACTGCCGTGCGTTCGTTCACCTTTCTTTCCTTTCCCACCTTTCCTTTTTCATTCTGTCAAGCTCCTTAGCTGTAGCAGCTGCCATCAGCCAATGGGATGCACTTTTATTCTAGTAAGGAAAATAAAACTCATTAAGATTTTATCTTGCATTTTTAACTCCTCTTGATAAATGTGAGTGGAAATGAGGGTTTCTTTGATAGTTCTAATGGTTATTCTTTATTCTAAAGATCTGTCTGCGAAAGGTATCATTGTAGATTGTACATGAATTACTCAAAGCACCATGCATCCTGTTTCAGTTAATGATAGCAGACATACCTCAGGCAAGAAAGTTTTCCATGACAACAGTCGTGTCATTCATTGTCTATAAACGACCTCATGAGGATGTGAAGAGCACACACCTCACCAGGTGTCAGTTTAACACAAGGCAAAGTGTTCTGCCTGTACACTGCGCAGTGTGAAGGGAATGCAGTCGTGGTTCTTTGAGGAGACGATTCTAAAAATGTTACTTTTTTCAATGACAGCCACTGTAATTGTAAAAATTCTAAAAATGTTACTTTTCTCAATTACAGCCACTGTAACTAAATGAAGTAAGATTACACATGGTCATATTGAGCCTGACTTCCCCCAAACTGGCTTATTTCTAACAGATCCTAAAATATATTTATTTGAACAAGGACCAGCAGATCATAATGAGGAAAACAAACAAACAAAACCTAAGTTATTGTTATCTGAAAAACAAACAAACAAACAACTCAGTAGTTATGTAATGTGATGGTACAGTGTTTCACATGGCACGATCTTGCTATTCTCCACAAATACCCCACAGTGCTCTCTTTATCGTGTTGCTTTCGATAATTCAGCACAGCCCAGTCAGTCTTTGGGTAGAATCTAAAGATGAAAAATCATAGGTCTTGAATTCAGTCTGCATACGACTGCAGACTAGATGGAGAGTTACCTCTCATTTTTTGTTAAACCTACAGTGAACTGAAGCAGTTAAGAGAAAGGGAAGAAGGGTCTAAAAATGAAGTCCCAGCTAAAGCCAGCAAATGGGACAATGGGTGTGCAGGAGCATGATGGCAGCAGACATGAATTTTTAAAGCGCTGTTGTTTGCCGTCTCAGGAGAGGTGCTGGTGTTTCTGGACAGCCACTGTGAGGTGAACGTGATGTGGCTGCAGCCCCTGCTGGCCGCCATCCAAGAGGACCGCCGGACGGTGGTGTGCCCCGTGATCGACATCATCAGCGCCGACACGCTGGCCTACAGCTCGTCCCCTGTGGTGCGGGGAGGGTTCAACTGGGGGCTGCACTTCAAATGGGATCTTGTCCCCCTTCCTGAGCCCGGAGGACCAGAAGGAGCCACCGCACCGATAAAGTAAGACCCCCTCCCCCCCCGCCCCAGCCCATGTGGTCGAAAAACTCTCACCAGAGTTTCTTCAAAGAGTACTTTAAAGATAATTCCTCCTCCTTCGCCAAAAGCAAAAGTGTTGGCTTAATTTGTCCATTAAAATTCTTGAGTGCTGACTGCATTTTATGCACTCTGCCAAGTCCCAAGGGGAGATTTATGAATAAGAAATTGTCCGTGCCCTCAAGGATTTCTAGCTTAGTGAGAAAGGCAGACAGAACCAACGATACCCGGGGACAGTTGTCACACATGGTCCCGTGGAGTACCTACCCTGCGTTTTGGGCTGGTTATGCGCGCGTTTTTATCTTCAGTTCTTTGCTAGTGCGAATGTGCTATGGAGAGTATTTGATGCATGAGCTTTTTCTACAGGCAGGATTTTTAGGGTAGATTCCTGCTAGCACCATCACTGAGTCACAGTACACGAAGTATTCCCTTCTCGTCCGTGGTCTCGCGAACCTCTTCCACGCTGTTCCCTTTGTTTTCTTCTACACCTCTCATGTTGCTTTCAGAGCGGTTTGTATGTATTTCTGCTTTTTAAAGTGCTTGAACCTACTCTTAAATGTTTTTCTTGTAAAAAAATAGCATATGCAAAAAGTACACATATGCACACAGTAAATGGTTATAACGTGCACACCTGTGCAGCTACCACTCAGGTCAGAAAACAGCACCCCGCTGATCCCCAAACATCCTTCCTGGTGACAGCGCCCGAACTCGTCCCCAGGGCTGTCCCTGCCCTGACTGAGCGCTTCCTCGCCCCCGGTGGCATCCTCCCCGCTGCGGGTTCGTCTCCTGGCGGTGTGGTTATGCCCACAGCCGGGCTTCCTGCGGACGCAGCCATGGGACTGTTTTGTCTCGCTTTTGCTCAGCATTGTGTTACAAATTCTTCGGTGCTGGAGTACGTAGCTCTCATGGATTCACTTTCACTGCTGTACGATAGTCTAAATTATTTACCCAGTTTACTGTTGATGGGGCAGTTGGGTTATTTTCAGCTTTTGGGTTTTTTTATGTCACAAATGGTGCCGTTGCCAACATTTTTATTCATGGCTGCTGGAGTGAAAGCGCCTGGTCGTAGGGCACGCCTCTCCTCGCCTTTGGCAGGTAATGTGCTCCTAACCCCTCAGCTGGCATTATGGTGCCTGCCAGCTTCCTTTCCTGTGAGCCCGACACAGGAGGGTGATGGAGACCCTGCTGGCCCGTTCCGGGTGCCTGATGCCATCTGCTGACAGGCGGGTCGTCGTGTCCTGGCTTGTGTGAGAAGCTGCTGCGGTTGCGTGTGACGCCCATGAACTGAGCACACGCAGCTCTCACTTGTCTTCCTGGCTTGCGTGCTTGCAGCTTTTCCTCACAGTGCCTGCGGGGGGTCGGTGCGGGTCACTACCACTGTCCCCTCCTTGGCTCTGCAGACAGGAGCCAGGTGCTGGAGCCCCTCTCAGGAGAGCAGGGCTGCGTCGGGTCTGCCTGCCTGCATTCCTGGCCCATGACCTCCTGACCTGTGGTTGGAGGCAGATGGTAGTGGTGACTCCATTTTGTCCTATCCTCTTTTGGACTGTCCATGTTTTCTTCTTCACAAGGAGAAACGTGTCTAATAAGGTATCTTTAAAGTTTTTCTTTGTCAGGCAAGAAGAAAGTACTCCAGACTGTTACATGTGTTCTCATTCTTAGCTTTTGTGCAGTTGCCAGTTTTTGCTTAGTTCATCATCTTCACGGGTATTTGTTTCTCATCATTTAATTTTTAGTATTTTTAATCAAAAACATGTATTCACTAACGAATCAAATAGAACTTTGGATAAAAGAGGCCGACTCTACCCCTTTTCTTTCCATTCTCAGTCCTTTCCCCGGAGGCACATTCTCGTAACCGTTCTTATTTTGGGTCTTTCGTTTCTCACTTCATTACTTCTAGATACGCAGCTGCAGACCCTCTCCATGGGAAGGCGAAGGTCCAGCTGACCGACATCACTCCCTGGTACTGTGTGTCACCCAGTGTCGTTTGGTTATTCGTAGTTGTTGCATTGGTCCCTTCTGATGCTTCTAAATTGTTTGTTACCTTTCGACAGCACTGACGGTCGTCCCCCGGCAGGGAGGGCGTTAGCCCCCTTTCTCCTTCTCCCCACCCCTACCCTTTCTGTAAACTTTCAGGTTGCTAACTTTTTGATTTAACGTTTAGATTTTTTAAACAGCTGTTTCACTTTACTGATAGCAGGTTGCTAACTTTTTGACTTAACATTTAGATTTTTTTATACTTTCAGCCTTTTTCCTTTTCTAATACATATATTTAAGAAGATAAATTTTCTTCTAATGGCTTTAGCTATATCCGACAAATGATAAAAAATATTTTAATTGCGATACCTTCTCTGACCCATAGGTTATGTAGCAGTGCATTTATTTCCAGATAGAGATTTTTATAGATGTTATTTATTGCTAGCTCAATTATACTGTTTTCAGAAAACATTCTATATGATTTTAATTCTGTAGAAATCGATGAGATTTGCTTTATGGTCTAGCATGTGGTTAATTTTGGTAACTATTTGTCGTGTGCCTGTAAAAGCTGTAATTTCTCCAGGCGGTAAATATGGGATTCTGTATCAGTTTCATCAAGTTCATTGTTACTGAAATATTCCATATTTTTGTTTTTAATTCACATGTTCTTTCAGTTATTGAAAATGGTATAGTTTCCCACTTCAATTGTATATTTGTTTCTCCTTTTAGTTTATATTTTTCATGTGTTTTAAGGCTCTGTTAACAGATGCATGAAAGTTGAGAATTATTCAAACTATCTGTCATTATGATCTATCTTTTATTCTATACTTTTAGAATAGTGAAACATTTGCGTTATAGTGTGATGTTTATTGGTATAGCTGTTCCATTTTTATTTTTGATCCATCTTTGCACTGTATAACTTTTCTTCCCTTTTGCTGTCAGTCTGTGGTCTTACATTTAGATGTGTCCCTTGTAAGTAGTAGTATATATAGATTTTTAACCAGTGTGAAAAAATTTAGGGCATATAGTTGATTACCTTCGATAATGTTGTGTTTATGATTACAGTGGTACTATTTGCTTTCTCTGTTATTTTTTTCTCTTGCCTGCATTTGGTCTGAGTTCCTATTATTCTAATCCTAATAGCAGCCCCATTATTAAAACTTACACATTTGTACATACTGTTCTTCTAGTGGTTGCCCTGGAGACTGCAGCAATCACCCCTGACTTTTCAAAGTGTAATATAAATTGGTACTTTCTCCAAACAATACAAGAATCTTGGAAAGTCCGTATTTTAATTATCGTCTTTCAAGTTATATTGTTGAAATATGTGTGTGTGTGTATTTTTAATCCTGCAAGAGATGTAACCATTATTCATTTAGGTTTACCCATATATTTCTTCTATTACGTTACTCTTTATTCTTTCTGCATCTGCGAATTTCCATTTGAGATTATTTTTATTCTGACTAAAGAACACATTTAAGTATTTCTTTTGATTGGACTGTCTGGTGATTACTCCTGTCTTTTTCTGAAAATGTCTTTGTTTCCTCATTATTTTAAAGAATAATTTTACGCAATATCCAGTCCTAGATTGGCAGGCATATTCTTTCAGGCTTTTGAAGGTATTTAAGAACCTTCTGGCTTCTACTGTTTCTGGTGAGAAGTTAGAAACAGTATTATTTTTGTTTCCTTTGAAGGTAGTCTTCATTGGCTGCTTAAATGTCCTTTCTGTCTCTATCAGAAGTGTTTCTCGCATATGCATAGGTTTGGTTTCATTTTTGATCTTTCATGTGATTTATCTTCCTGATTCCCTGGTTATTGTTTGCTTGTTTATTTAGTCCCAGACACTGTATATGTTTATTGAGTCCCAGACACTGTATATGAAGAATTAGAGAGATGCATTCATAGCTGGGATGATGTTTTCTTCTTGCAAAGAGAATTTTGCTTCTCTTCTGGCAGGCAGCTTGGGACGCTAGAATCCATGATCACCCAATCCTATTTCAGGGCGCAAGACACCCGGAAGCGGGGCTTGGCTCCACGAAGGCCAGTCTGCTTCGGGTTCTCTCCCTGTAACACAGGGCTCAGTCTTCTTGGCAGTACTGACATTCTGGGCCTGATAAATTCTTCATTTAGCAGCACACCTGCTCGCAACCTGTCAGGTGTCAGTAGCACCCTGCTACCCAGCTATAACAGCTAAAAATGTCTCCAGAAGTTAATGACATTCTTGCTTGGGGACAAAATCACCCTGTTTGAGAGCCACTGGTCCAACACGTGTTCGAGTATAATTGAAAGTGGCAGGTTTGTCTGGTCTTACCTTGGCAGGCCCAGTGGCTCTGTGAGACTGTCAAAGGAATTAAATAATTCATTTCAGGTGGACTTCTGTCAAAATAGTTATAATAAAAAAAGTACTTAGAAAAGTAGCCTTCGTTTGCTAGGTGCCTAGCATATCTAGAAAATTCAGTTATGTAGCCTAGCTCACTCCCTGATGTTTCATAATGCTTAATGTGTTTCATAATGGTTAATCTAGCTTTTATTAGTAATATTCCAATGGCGCACTGAGTTTATAGTAGGTGACTGACTACAGAATTGACACCGTAATTATTTTCCTTTTCTAGGTCCCCTACAATGGCTGGAGGACTGTTTGCCATGAACAGGGACTACTTCAGTGAGCTCGGGCAGTATGACCGTGGCATGGATATCTGGGGAGGAGAAAACTTAGAAATATCATTTCGGGTAATTTTATTTTGTTGCATGCTTAATTATTTGTGTGTAGCAGAATGTAATTTTCATCCATGATCCCATATTTTCTGTAAATTCTTTTTGATTCTTTTTGTTAAGAAACTGTCTTTAATGAATGCTACTCTATTGCACCCTGTGATGGATAATGATCATTTAAAATGTCCAAAGCATCTAAGAAGGTTCATATATATTGTACAAGAGTTCATGAGGGATGACTGTGAAGCACGGTTGAGTATGAACGCAGAAGACTTAACATGCATTTACCTAGAGCCCTGTTCCTGCCGCACCGAGTCGGGGCGATCAGATTCCCCTCATTGCCAAGGCCACCCTGGCTCACACCTGTTACCAACAGTCCCCATTTCACTTGCAGAAGTAGCTCAGTTTAGATAACAGATTACATCACTTCGTGTGTAGCTTACTGAATCCTTTACATAGACAGGTACCTCCAACCTGAGGAAGAAATTCACCTTTCATAATTTCTTCTCCAACTGCTCAGCTTGGAAAGATGACAGTGTAGGTGGGGTCTGTGGCTCAGGGAGCCATTGGGGGTAAGACCTTCTTCTGAAAAGGTAGGCAGGGGAGCGGTTGGGGACGGACTCAGACTTCTTCCCATTTCCCACCTCCAGTCTCCTGGCCTGGATGGCAGAATCCCCAGTCAGAGGCTAACACAATACCTTGTGCACGTGTCATTTTGTATTTTGGTAAATGTATTGACCACTGTGTTTTTAAAAGATAGATATTCCTATATAATCTTCAGAATTTGAAAGGAATAATAGATATCATTAGTTTGGTCTTATTTTGTAGATGAGGTAACCGAGTCCTACAAAAATTAAAATAATTGGCTAAAGCAATTCAGAAAAGTTAAGGGAAAAATTTAGATCAGAACTAAGATCTTTTGAATCTTAACCTAGACTTATTCTGTATATTTTTTTTTCTCAAAAAAGAAATTTATATCCATTTTCTAAGAAAGTACCTGTAAAGCTGAAATTAGAGGACCAGTCAGTAGGCAGTCCTTGTCCCTAAGTCCTAAAGATCCAGTGTCTTCTGGTAGAACGTCAAGGGCAAGTGTGAGTTTAGGTCCATGCTCGTATGAGAGTGCACATGTGATAGTTAGTTTCTTTTTAATCAGAAAAACAGATTTTTAAAAATACACCCTTTGACTTCCTTCTATTTGAATAGCTTTATAAAACATCTTGCAAAGTCTCCTTATTTAATAAAGGTTAATTTCATGAACATTCTTACATTGATTTCATAGCACTGCGAGGCAGCCATTAACATGTATTTCGCTTCTGCCCAGATTTGGATGTGTGGAGGTAAACTCTTCATCATCCCTTGCTCTAGAGTCGGACACATCTTCCGAAAAAGACGACCATATGGCTCTCCCGAAGGCCAGGACACCATGACACACAACTCCCTGAGGCTGGCACACGTTTGGCTGGATGAGTACAAGGTGAGCTGAAATCTCTCACCGAGAAGGGACAGGAAGGCCGCCACTCCTTTGGGAATGGTTTCGGCTGCTTTTCACTCACATTTCTGTTTGGGTGACTGTCCCCTGGGTTTCTTTTCTCCTCTTCACTCAATGTTTCAGTCATTGTTTGTTCTGACTCTTAATTTTCCAAGTGACCACTCAGAGGTGATGTAGTCAGCATCAGAAGTAGTTCTGTCTCTCTTCGGTGTTACTCCCTCTGATCCCTCTCCCGTGGCTCCCACAGAACCTGGTCTGGCTCCGTTCTGTTGCTCACTGGGCTTCCCTGTGACCCGGTCCCGGCTTCCCTAGTCGAGTCGACACACGTGGCCTTCCCTGCCATCTCCTCTGTGAGACGCAGCTTGCAATATTTTCTTTGGAACAGCTTCATTGAAGCGTAATTCACAAATCATTTTTAGAACATTTTATCACCCTAAAAAGAAACTCCGTATCTTTCAGCCACCATCCCCGCCTCTCCCCCACTTCTAGACAGCCAGATTGTCTTTTCACTTTATAGATTTGCCTATTCTGGACATTTTGTACAGATGGAATCTCATAATCGTGTGCTCTTTTGTGACTGTCGTCTTTCATTTAGAAGGATGTTTTCAGCTTTATCTATATTATACCAGGTTATTTATCAGTACTTTGTTTTTACTGCCAAGTAATATATCACATTTTGTTTATCCATTCATGATGTGATGGACATTTTAGTTTTTTTAGATTTTTTGACTTACAAAAAATGCTGTTGTGAACGTTTGCATACAGTTTTTTAAACAAGCCTTTATTGAGCACCTACTATATACCAGGCTGTGTTAGGTTTGAGGGGTACAAAGATGACCCAGGGGAGCGCACAGTAATGTTTAACGTGGAGGTAAACGCTAGTGGAGGGGAACATACCATGTGCTGTGCGAACAGGAGCATGAAACACTGACCGTGCCGGGGAGTCACAGCAGGGACTCCGTGGACCTCTTCCCTCCTGTGAGGCTCCTCCGAAGTCCAGCATGTTTGCATCATCACTGTGTAACACGGAAGCTCTCAAAATACGGCCCACACTCGAGGAGGTCTGCTGGGCAGTGCTCTCTTCACGGCCAGGTTAACAGCACTCGCCGTCTCACCGTGCTGACGTCACGCCGACGGCGCAGACAGCAGCGCGAAGCAGGGCGCGTTAACGAAGCCAGTTCCATCCAAGACGCCTTTGGCGAAGTCGCGAAAATGAATCGTATCAGACCGCAGCGTGTCTCACGGTGTCCTGTGTCCATATTCATGTCGGGCGTACAGACGGCGCCTTTGCTGTGTACCGAAGACAGAGTGGACTCCAGGAGAAATACCTGTGCAGTGTGAGTTACAGCCGATCTAGCCCCTTTTCTCTAGGAAACACTTTTTATGTAAGAGAATGACTCTCAAACCCATGGGGATTCACATTTGCGAGTCTGGCAGACATTTCTTTCAAAAACGAACCAACCGAGCCTGTCACTCCAAGGAGAACAACTAATAGCGTTTGCTGTAAATGATCACATTCAGGCTTTCAGGTTGAAAATTAGAATTTTGGAACACTTGTATCCTTCACCACGAGCTTGTTAGCTCCCAGTACTTAAAATCCTTTCTGATGAGATTGGTAGTGATATTTATGAATATAATTTTGGAGTATTATGTATTTGGAAGAACTTCACAGCCTGGCAGGACCAGTACTTTCCAAAGGACTGATGCATGAAGTTATAAAAGTCTCCGTGGTAAGATGGCCATTCAGAGAGCAGGGCGACTGGCAGATGCTGACGCAGCAGTGCGGAGTCACGGTACGCCTTCCTGCTTTACCTGGCGGCTGACCTTTAAGAGTTACTGGGTTTTAACGTAGTATCAAAAGAATAACCATCATTATCTACAAGTTATAAAAATGTTCATGAACTTGTTTTAGAAATATATTTAACCTAAGAACCTATAGTAACCGGTTGAATATAGGTAAGAGAATTCAGCTAACTTTTTAGCCAGACGTTGAAAAGATTTGCAAAAACAAAGTGGCGTCACTGTTCTCATTAAAGTTTTTGTTCAAAGCACGTTATTAATGTAAGTGGGTAATGGGTTTGTTATTGTGATTTTTAGTGAGTTAACTAAAGGTTTTAAATATCTGAAATATAACTAAATGGTAACTAGCAGTAGACATAACTCCTAGAAATCTTGCTTGGTGTCTTCAGTCATTTTTAACACCTGCATCGGACAGGTTGAGAAGTGCTAATCTCCTAGGTAGCCTGTTTCATTGATTCCAAGATACACGTTTTTACGTGTCTAGCCATTTCTAAAATTGGGGTGCATCTTACAATTTAAGATGTTGTATCATTGTCAATTACGGACCTGATTGTGTAACAACTTTCCCTTTTTTTTTTTTTGCAACATTAGGAAGACACTGGCGTAGAAAATGTTTTCGGTCATAATCCATTTTTTCAGTTCTTTGGACCTCAGTATAATTGATATTTATTTTTAAAAATCTATTCTCTTATTTTCCAATTTTCTTTTAAATTCAGGAGCAGTATTTTTCCTTGAGACCGGACCTGAGGACCAGAAGCTATGGGAACATCAGTGAGCGTGTTGAATTGAGGAAGAAGTTGGGTTGTAAATCATTTAAATGGTATTTGGATAATATTTACCCAGAGATGCAGGTATCTGGACCCAATGCCAAACCCCAGCAACCCATTTTTATCAACAGAGGGCCAAAACGTCCCAAAGTCCTTCAGCGTGGAAGGGTAAGGAAGTCATCTTTTCAGAGTTGTATGATACAGTGTCATTGCAGACCTAACGATATTTAGTATGAGAATTTCCTCCACTCAGGTGTAAGTCCTTAGAAATTTTAGTATCTTCACTGTTAATAAGATTCTTTACCTGCCAGTGTAAAGGGAGCTTGACTTCTATGAGTTAGATACTAGCTCGCTCCTTAGAGGATACATATAAATATACAAATAAAGGCAGAGTGTAAGTATAAAATTCAATGAGGAAAACAAAGGAGAAACTGGGGCAGCTGGACGCTGTTCAGCTTCAGCTCGGGCACTGACCACGGACAGGAGGTGCGGGTGGCTGGGGTCTCGGTGGTGGTGTGAGGCGAAAGTTCACATCTGCTGTTCTGGGCCGTCATCTGAGCTTAGAAAGCCCGCCGATCCACCACGTGTCTTCAGACGTTCCCTTTTGTTTCCTGTAGCATTTCTTCAGTTTTATAATCACCCTTAAATTTTGGAGGCCTAGCCAGAAAAACATACCTTTTTCCTGAATTTCTTAGAACTTGCTTTCTGAAAGTTGAATGTAGGTATTATCAATTGTTGCCAGCTTTCTCTCGTGTGCAAGAAGGCACTTTTCTGGATTCTTTCACCATGCCATTCTTTGACCCACTAAGTGGCTGGAATTCAGCTTGCTTGTTCTGTCTTGTAGATCAAAAAAAAAAAAAAAAAAATCAAGACGTTATTAGGTGTTTTCTCATCAAAACGGGTACCAGTGTATGTCCACATGGCTGAAATCCTTTCTCATCATTATGCTTGCCCTAATGGAGCTAATCTCACTTCTGTGGCGTTTCTAATCTGCATTTATCTCCAGTTTAGCGTGCGTATTACATTGAATTATTTACTGTTTGCTTTACACCTTTTGTTCTTATTTCTTTAATATCATTTTAAGGTTTAGTGCAGAGATGATAGTTTTTTCTTCCTTCTGTGTAGATTAGTAAGCGCGTAAGTAGAATTCCTACTAACACTGCCTGCAGATAGTGCTAAAGTACCCTGTAACCCTGAATCATGATGCTCGTACGTGCCTAAGCTAGAACCTAGGAGTAAAAACTGCTGTTTTATCACCTTTGGAATCCATGCCTCTGGAATAATATTCTCATATCTCACCCAGAGCCTTTTCTAGCATTCTTCAGGGCGTTTTCCGACTTCGGTCTGTCTGTGCTTGCTGCCTTTCATGAGCAGTGTCTTCCTTTTCAGCTCTATCACCTCCAGACCGGCAAGTGTCTGGTGGCCCAGGGCCGCCCAAGTCAGAAAGGAGGCCTCGTGGTGCTTAAGGCGTGTGACTACAGCGACCCAAATCAGGTGAGTGAGGCTTCTGTGCTCGCAGCCCATCCGCAGGTGTCCTTTAGTGAAGGGACTCTGCCACCGGTCCTTCCTGAGGAGGGAGGGGGGCAGGCATCAGGGTTTTAACCTAACCTTAAATCATATGGATTAAAAGTTGGGAATGATTCTAGAGATCACCTAATACAACTTTTCGTCTCTGCATACTTTTCTACCTCTGATCAGTTTGTCATAGTAGCATTTTCTTTGTTCAGAGCATTTTGTCCTTTTCAGTTATATAGAAAGTTTGTTAGAAACGGCGAAGAAGTGCACTTTGCCCCCTCCCCCTTGGCAACCATCAGCATGTTCTCCATCTGTGGGTCTGTTTCTGGCTCTTGTTCATTTTTTTTAGGTTCCACATATAAGTGAGCTCATAGGTATTTGTCTTTCTCTGATTTATGTCATTTCACTTAGCGTAATACCCTCTAGGTCCATCCATGTTGTCACAGGTAGTGAGATTTCATTTTTTATTGCTGAATTGTCCATTGTATGTGTACCACATCTTTATGCAGTTGTCCAGTCATGGACAGTGAGGTTGCTTCCATACCTTGGCTTACTGTAAATGATGCCGCAGTGAACACAGGGGTGCCTCTTTCTTTTAGAATAAGTGTTTTTATCTTCTTTGGATAAATGCCCAGAAGTGGGATTGTTGGGTCCCACATATGATATTTCTGTTTTCCATAATAGCTACACCAATTTACAGTCCCACCAACAGTGCATGAGAGTTCCCTGTACATCCTGCCAACACTTGTTTGATTTTTTTTTGATGACAGGTGTGAGGTGGTATCTCATTGTGGTTTTAATTTGCATTTCTCTGATTAATGATGTTGAGCATCTTTTCGTATGTCTGTTGTCCATCTCTATGTCCTCTAGGAGGAATATCTGCTCAGGTCCTGTGCCTATTTTAATTGGATTTTTTTTGTGGGGGGGGATATTAACCCTTTATTGAGGGTATCCTTTGCAGATACCGTCTCCCATTCGTAGGTTGTCTCCTCCATTTATTGGTTTCCTTTGCTATACAAAAATGTTTTTAGTTTGATGTCCTTTTCTTTCCCTTGCTTGAACAGATATTTCCAAAAAGATGTTGCTGTGTTTTCTCCTAGAAGTTTTATGATTTCAGTACTAACATTAACTTTTTAATCCATTTTATTTTTGTATGTGGTATGAGAACGTGGTCTAATTTCCCCAACACCACTTATTGAAGAGACTGTTACCCCGCTGTACATCTCGCCTCCTCTGTTATAGATTGACAGTGTAAGCAAGGATTTATTTCTGGGCTTGCTATTCCATTGCTCTGTGTGTCAGTTTTTATGCCAGTACCATACTGTTTTGATTTTCGTAGCTTTGTAGTTTGATATTAGGGATCATGATACTTCTCCACTTTGTTCTTTCATTTCTCAAGATTTCTTTGGTTATTCGGGGTCTTTAATCCTAAATGTTTTATGGAACTACAAGTTCTAATTCTGAGAAGAATGCCATAGGGATCGCATCAACTCTGTATATTTTTTTAGGTAGTAAGGATATTTTAACAATATTAATCCTTCCAATCCATGAACAAGGTATATCCTTCCATTTATTTGTATTTCCACTTTCTTCAGTGTCTTACAGTTTTCAGAGTACAGTTCTTTTACCTCCTTGGTTAAATTTATTCTTAGGTATTTTATTCTTTTTGATATACCGGTAAGGGCTTATTGTCTTAATTTTGATCGTTACTGGTGTGAAGAAACAACAGATTTCTGTATGTCAATTCTGTATCCTACAACTTGTGATTTATTATAATACTGTGAGTTTATCTTGTCTGATTGCTGTAGCTAGGACTTGAGGTTATGATCTTTTATTTTCTTCCTTAGATATGGATTTATAATGAAGAGCATGAATTGATTTTAAGTAATCTCCTGTGCCTGGATATGTCAGAAACCCGCTCCTCAGACCCACCCCGCCTCATGAAGTGCCACGGATCAGGAGGGTCCCAGCAGTGGACCTTTGGGGTGAGCAGCTTGCTTAGCGATGATGGGGAGGAGACAGAAGGGGCTAAGTGAGGGAGCATGACACATGGACTCACTGTACCTTGTAGAAGGTAGTTCCGGGTTTGTAGCATCCCCAAGCAACCTTAAACGTTCCACGTCTCTTCTGGATTACTGTAGCTTCTTTACCATGGTCTGTGTTTTAAGTTGACACACATAACTGGTGGAATTTTTTTCTTCCAGAAGAATAATCGGCTGTACCAGGTGTCGGTTGGACAGTGCCTGCGAGTAGTTGATCCACTGAGTCACAAAGGCTATGTTGCTATGGCAATCTGTGATGGCTCTTCCTCACAGCAGTGGCATTTGGAAGGTTAAGGCGGAGGCCGTGGCTGGATGGTGATTCATCGTGCTTGTCCTATGGAGATGCCTGGGAAGATGAGGTGAGACAGCAGATGTGCTAGAGACTGGAGCACCGTGTGGCCCTCAGGAGGTGAAGAAGTGTCTCGCCAAGATAGGTCATTTCCGAGCTGCTGTTAAGGAAGGAGGTCTTGCTTATGGGAGGAAACCAGAATATAGTTTTACTTTAAAGAGGTTTGTACAGAAGGGAAACATTCAGGACATTGCTAGGTCTATTCAAATTACGCTTTTTAATCCCCTTTAATGCTGGAATGGCACTGATCTGATCGGGAACTGGGCTTGATTTCCTTTCTTAGAAGACTTCGTAAGAGACAGTTAATTTTACACAAACTGATTGAATCCACATGACTTAACTTCAAGAGGCATTTATAAGATTGTATTTAAGAAGCAGTTAACTTATAAATTATTTTGATGAATTATGGTACTAGCTACACTTAAAATAAAGGATCCTTTTAATTATTTACCTATCTCATATTGGGGCTTCAAGTCTGAGCTGTCCTATGTATGCGACACATGGTAAGAAATACACTTGGAGTCAGCTGATGAACCAGTATGCAAGGTAGGTAAGTTTCACAGTTTCTTAGCTTGAATTATGTGGATTTCTTGACTTTAGAGTTGCCTGTGAAACATCCAGGTAGAGTTAAGTAGGCTGTTGGATATAGAGGTCAAGATCTCATATCTATGTCAAGTTGAGATATAAATTTAGGAATCATCTGTATATACTAAATGCTCAGCCTATAAAGTATTACATCTCAGAGACAGAGTTCTATGGGGTACTTTGTTATTTTTATCTTGAACCACAGTAGCTTAAGCACCCAATTAGGACCATGCTAGAGTCTGTCTATATCTTAAACTTTCTGTGAGTCATTCAACTTTAAAGACCAGGTGGTACATAACAGAAAACAAAACAGCAAGATGGTAGATTTAAACCCAATGAAATCAATGCTCTCATTAAATATAAATTAAATGCCCCCCTTTAGAAGGCAGCCACTGTTAGCTTGGATAAAAATGCAAGACCCAACTATATGCCTATGAGAAACTCACTTTAAATATGAAGACAGAAAAAGATGGGCAAATATACGCATGATGAACACTACTTGGAAGACATCTGGAGTAACTATATTATTATTTGTCAATTCTTTAAGAGGAAACAATCTCAAACATTTATATAGCTAAGAACAGAACTTCAAAATGCATACCACCAAAACGGGTCAATCATAACTGCCAGGGGAGACATTATCCATGACCGTAATGAGACTTCACCGTACCTCAATAACTGATGAAGCAGGTGGACAGGCTATCGCAGTCAGGATAGTTAAGTTGACATAGTTAACATTCATGGAACCCCCCCCTCATCCAGTAAGAACAGAATCATCCATGTACACATGAAACAATTATCAGGTTAGATTATGTTCCCTAATGTTAAACAATTTATACAAGTTCAACTAATGAAAATTATATATTAGAAACCAATAATAAAGATAACTGGAAATTTTTTGAATATTTGAAAATCTACAAGTGACATACTTCCCAGTAGCCCATGGGTCAAAGAAATCAAAAGGCTATTTTGAACTGACTTAAAACACAACATTGCAAAGTTTGTAGGCCGCAGCTCAGTGCTTGAGAAATTTATAGCACTGTTTAAAATTAGCGATTTATACTTCCACCTTAATGGAACAGAAAACAACTGGATTAAGAGTATCAAACTGCTAAAACTACCTCTAGTCCAAAAAGAGACACAAATTGCTAACATCAGTAAAGACTGGCAGTCTTATCAGACATTCCGCAGATGTTAAAAAGAACAAAAAGCAATAGGAACTCAGTCGTTGCTGCTGGGAACCTAAACGGTACAGCCATTTTGGAAGATGATTTGATGGTTTCTTAGGAAACTAAATCTTACCATATGATACAACAATCAAGCCTCTTGGTATGTGCCCGAAGGAACTGAAAACTTATGCCCACACAAAAATCTTATTTACAGCAGTTTCATCCCTAACTGCCCAAACTTGGAAGTACCTAAGATGTCCTTCAGTAGCTGAATGGATAAACTGTGGTCCATCCAGGCAATAGAGTCAGCATCCAAAAGAAAAGGAAACTTGAGGAGCCAATCTGAAAAGACTATGTACTGTATGATTTCAGCTATGTGACGTTCTGGAAAACACAAACCATGGCGGCAGTAAGAGGTCAGGAGAGTGAGATGAGTAGGCAGAGCACAGAGGATCATTAGGGCAGCGGAACTGTTGCGTATGACATTATAATGGTGGACACGTCATTGTACATCAGAACCCACAGACTGTACAACACCAAAGTAGACGGGACAGTGACGTGTCACCACAAGTGCGTCAGTGGTGACACGCTACCACTGATGCCGGATGTTGATGGTGGGGCAACGGGGGGCATGTTCTATACTTTAGTCAATTTTACTGTGAAACTAAAACTGCTTTAAAAAATAAATTGTTTTTACAAAAAGGATAAGGATTATGACCAACTTTATGCCAATAGATTAAATGGACAGATTCTTTGAAACAAATTACCCAACTTTCCTATAGAAACAGATAAATTAAATTTATAGTTTAAAAATCTTCCCCCAAAGAAAACTCCAGGCACAGATGGTTTCATCGATGAATTCTATCAAACAGTGGAGGAAAAAACTATACCAGTACACAAACTTCTGTGAAATTTTGATGATATGAGCAATTTTAAAAGCAATACACCAGAAAACTACCGGCCAGTGTCCTTCATGAATACAGAAGCAAGACTCCCTTAAACACATCAGCAGATCAAACCCAGCAATATGTAGAAAGGGTGATGGCTGATGAAAAGTGGGTTTGATCCTAAGAATAGAAAGCTGCTTCAGTATTACAGCACCAATTAGTATAGTTTACAGTACAGGAGGAAAGGCCTGTTAACCTTGCAGGAAACAACTATGACAAAATTTAACACATGATAAAAACTCAGCAAACTAAAAATGGAAAATTCCTCTACACGATAAATGACATCTCTGAAAAATGACAGTCTCGTTGAAAGAAAAAAAGATGAGTAGGAACAGGGCACAGATGCCTGTGCTCACCTTACCGCTCCATTCCACATGTGTGGCGAAGGTCTTAGCCAGTGTAGTTGGGAAGAGAAAGAAATATACATTTGGAAAGGAAGAACTAGAACCAAGACTGTGATCGAGCGTGTAGAAAATCTGAGTTTTCAAAAATACTACGACATAAATAGTAAAAGGAAGTTTATTAGGAGCACAAAATAAAAGGTCGATATAAAACTGAACTGTACTTCTATACGGTAGCAACGAACAATTCAAACTTGAAAGTAATGGCATTGTAATTGCAATCTGCAGTAGTATCAAATATATGAATAGAAAGTACGAAACATTGCTGAGAAAAAATAAAAGACAACCTAAATAAATGCAGAGCTATACTATGTCTATGGATTAGGAAACTCAGTATTGTTAGGATGTTAATTCTCCACAATTTGACCTACAGATTTACATGCTATCCTCCGTCAAAATCCCAGGAGGCTTTTTATACTTCACCATCTAATATTCAAACTCACATGGACATGCATACAACTGAGCGGCGGAAATAATTTTGGGAAGGATGAAGTTGGAAGGCTTGCACAAGTTTAAGACTGGCCGTGATGCCGGCTATTGGATAACGAAGAGACTGGCAGAACGGAAACAGACCCGCACACATTTGGCAACTGATTTTCAGCAAATGAGCCAACACGAGTCAAGGGAAAACTCCTCGAGAGAGACGGCGCCCGGACAGCTTCGCGTCCCCACGGACGGGCATGAAGCCTTACTCCGTACACAGGGACGGACGACTCCAGAATGGGTCGTACAGCCAAGGGGGAAAACGCAGGAGGACGGGAAATGACTGATTAGGTGAGCCATAGACTCGTATCCAGAACGTAGAAACAGTGCTTAAAATTCAGCATAAAAAGACAACCCGGTTTTTAAAATGGATCCAATACTCGACGCAAAGACGTATAAACGGCTCAGCAAGTAAAAAGGTGTTCAATGTCACAGTCATCAGGGAAATGCAAACTAAAACCACAATAGGATGCTACTTCACACCCATGAAAATGGCATAAGTAAAAAGGGACTGACCTGGGTTCTGAGGAAGTGGCAGAGGAGGTCGTCGTGGCACAGCTGTGCGCTCCGCCGTCAGTGCCCGCAGCATTCACAAAGCAGCCAGGCGACAGGGTAACCCCACAGGCTCTATAATAAAGTGGGTTGGGGAGACTTAGTAACCGTAAGACCTGTGTGTTATCAACACTTGCGTGACAGAAAGCAAAAGGGAGCAGAAGCAAACTACCCAGCTTCCCTACAGAAACAGCCCGTGTATTAAACCAGTTACAGTTGTAGTTTAAAAACCTTCCCACAAAGAAAAGTCCAGGCACAGATGGTTTCACGGTGAGTTCCAGCACACAGCCTCTGTGCGCACCAGTGCCCAGTAAGAACCCGACGCGGGCAGCAGGTTTTTAACAGGGAACTGGGGGTGCATCTGAGAGCAGCAGTGAGCCCCGTGGGTGAGTGCGAGGGCGGGAGCCTCCCAGTCCTGGGGACACTTGAAACTTCTCTCCAGGCCTGCTTTGTAGGCCAGGGTCCCGGCGCGAGCACAGACTGCTGGGAATGGGATGAAAACTGAGCAGGACAGGGAAAAAAGAGAAAGGTAAAACTTGGGGAGGTGGAGGAGGGACGCAAAGCCAGGCGTGTCGCGGCAAGCCACCGTGCCGCCGGGACCACACACGTTAGGGGGCGGCGCCCTGTGGGGAGCTGCTGTCTGAACCATCCCTCCTCACGCTTCGGCAAAACTGAACTCATCGATGAGCAACAGAAGAGGGTCAAGTCCCATACAAGGTTACTATGAGAACGAAAAAAGCTGTCTTAGAAAAACCCAGTTCTGTCTACCTGTTTGTGAGTCGTCTTCACTGCTCAGAACACCTCGCTGTCCACACTTCCGGTCCCCAGACATGCAGAGTTCTCCCCACGCCAGGCGGTTCTCAGACACCAGCTGGGCGTCCTGCGCTTCACCTCAGCTGGGACCCGGTCTACCTGGAGACAGCACCAGGTCCCGAAGTCCGAGGGTTCAGTTCCACAAGACGCCTGCCCCATGCCTAGTCAGGTGCCAGCAAGTCCAGGGTGCCACCCACGCTTCTGACACGGGACCCCGCCCTTCAGGTTCAGTTAACATGCTAGAGTGGCTTTCAGGACTCTGGGAATCAGATCACTTAGCGTCTGCCTGCTCATGACAAAAGCGTGTGAGAGAGGACAGAAATGAACACGCAGAGGGAGGAGATGAGGCAGCCACGGTGTTGGAAGGGGCGAGGAGCTGCCACGTGCCCACTCACCCGGGAGCCCTCCCAGCCTGGGCCTCCCTCGGTTATGGAGGCTTCATCACACGCACGATGGAGTAAATCAGTTCCTGGCACCGGGTTCCGCCATCAGCCCCTTCCTTGCCCAGATGCGGGGGTGGGGGGGGGCGGTGAAAGTTCCCGCCCTCTCACCCGTGGTCGGCTCCACTGCTCCCCGTTTCCCCAGCCCCTGTACTGTATTAACATGACAGACACCTTTCCCAGTCCTGTGACTGAGCAAATTCCTAGGGTTTTAGGAGCTGTGCCAGAAATGGCGACAAAGACCACATACGCGTTTCTTACTGTAAATCAGGGTCACAGTTTACCCTCTGGTTTTGGGACGTGGACCTCTAATAGCAAAACTACAAGTCAGACGACAGTGGCACATCGCTGGGGTGTCACTCGGTCATTCGTAACACCAGCCATCGCTGTATTACATTAAAATGCCCCTCGGGGTCCACAGGCTTCTGTTCCATCTGGGCAGCTTCCCAAATCGGGTGGTTTCAGCTGGATGACTCCGCCCTTTCAGGCCTTGGGAGTAATCAAGCTAGTGACAACAGCTCACGTTCTTGAGGTGCTACTATGATACTAGATTTCTCTCATTACATGACACAACCCACTTATTCATTCCTGTAAGCTCAGTTACTAGTTTTCTCTTTCCATTTGTACCCCGATTTTTCCACCTTTGGAAGGTACGTTTGGTTTGGTCACCGTGCTGGTCTGTGTTGCGGGCAGCAATGCTAGCCTGGTAACCTCTGCCTGCTCCGCCCGCTCCTGCTCAGACAGGGTCAGGCTACACAGGTGCAGACAGAGTGGGCCGTCTGTCCTTAGCACCAGCCTCCATGGCCCTCCGCAGCTCATTCACTGTTAGTCCCAGCTCTGCCAAATGGGGGAACAGCACATCCTGCCCCATCAGGACTTTAGGAATTCTGACATGGAGGTTAAAAACATTCACAGTTCCTTAGAAATCATCCCTGTTTACAGCCCTCGTATTTGCAGCCGCGGTCTGTAAATATTACGAGGATGGGGGCGGGGCGAATAAAGTGAGGCGATGAGGGGACGCGCTCGCAGAACCGATCAAGCTACGCGACACGAACAGGAAATGACCACCTGAAGCAGGATTTGAAAACTCAAATGTGACAGAACTCAAGAATTAGAAGTTTAAAAAATAATTTCAGAAATTAAAGGAACATGGGGCCAAGAAGTATGACAAAGCCTTTAAATGAAACTGAGTTCGACAAGAAAAACTTCGAAATCAGAAGTGAGAATTCTGCTTCTGGCCAGGAGGGAGTAACGGCATCTATGCTTGTCGTTCTGGGGCAAACAAGGAGAAAAGTAGAAAAAGTACACGAAACAACTCTGCAGACATGGGACTGCAGGACGGTGAACAAGAGACACGGTGAGCCCACGTGCATTTCAGCCTGCTGTGCAGGGAGGGGAACCCCAAAATGGCTGCTGGGCTTGCTGAATTGAGACAGAGAGTGGAGTTCAGGGAGGCCGGAGTGGCTGGAATGGGCAGCACAGCATGCGGGCGAGGGCGGAGCTGGCAGAGAGAGGGTCCGGAAGCGTGCATGGGGTCTCTGAGTCTGGCCGTGTGTCAGCCCGTCGCAGGTAAAGCGTGACTCCATGACACCCAGCTGAGAACAAGAAAACATGTACTAGAGCCACTCCCAAAGGTCCCATGAGGCTGGAACTGGCCAAGTCCCTCACTGAAGGCCCAAGGCACCCATTGTGCTCCCCAGGGGGCCTTACGTCAGTGGCGGGGTGAATCAGACACATCCTGACAATGCTTAAAGAAGAGGCTTCAAAGAGAGGAAACTCATTCTCAGGTAACTCAGGTGCCACCAGAATAAAGTAACACTCTCAAGGGCAACAACAGAATCGGCTTGAGAGCAGGGACCCTGGACTCCGATAACCACCGCTAGACGTTGAAAAGGCAGGAAAATGTAACCTGTGAACCAGCAGGAAAAGATCAATTAAACAGGCCTAGAAACGAAGAGATGACAGAATTAGCAGGCAATGGTATTAAAAATAGCTATTATATACACATGTTCAGTGCACTGAAAATCTTTAAGGAAAACCTGAACATAATGAAGACAAACTGTCAAAGCTGTCAAGGGCATGAAAAACGAGGCAAACCTGAGATACTGTCACGGACCAGAGGAGACTCGGGAGGCGGGGATGACCCGATCGGCGTGCTGCCTTGGGCTGGCACCAGGAGCAGGAGGACCTCCCCGCTGAGCCAGCCGGCGGAGTCCGAAACAGCCGACAGGGCACAGTGACGCTCCGAAGTTCACGTTAGTCCTGGCAGCTGTGTGCTCGGGAAGATCGGGAAGATGCTAACGCTAGTGGAGACGAGGAAGTGGGTGTGGGGACTCTGTGTCATCTCTGCAGCTTTTCTGTAAACCTGAAATTATCCCCAAATAAAAAGTTTACTTAAAAGACCAGTCAGTTGCTACAGTGCAGTTGACCTAACGTACATTCCTGAAGATGTTCCTCACAGCGTTATTCATGAGAAAAATTTGTGAACTACCTAAGTAGGGTGCTTATCTTTCCTTTTTATTTTTCCTCCCTCCGTTTGTTTTAAAGGCTAACATGGATTTTTTAATCATAAAATGTTATCGTAAAACATTATCAAATATTTTTACACGATTATAGTAACTTATACTGTCAAGACTGAGGTAATAATTTATTTCAGAACCTGACTGTCTTACCTTCCTGTGTCAGGGTTGGTCCCGGTGGGAAACAGAAGGCTCAGTTCTCGGCGGCTCTGAGGGGACACTCACCGCTCAGAGGCCACGGGGGCCTGGAGGGGCTGCAGTCCCCAGCGGAGACGCCCTGGTTCCTCTGTCCTGCCCTCCTGCTTGCTGGGGGCGGTGGGAGGCAGCCGAGTCCCTGCCTCCCAGAGTAGTTTGAGTTGGTTAACTGTACCTGTCACTCACACAGCGGGACTGGAGGGCTGGGAGGGTCCCTGGGGCCATCAGGGATGACCCTGAAGGAAAGAGTTCTAGGCGAGATGCAGATGGAGCACCGAGGGCCTCAGCGTGCACGTCCAGGTCCGGGACAGCACTGGGACCTGACTGCGAGTTGGCGCCCTGGAGAATGGCGGGGCGCCCGCGGGAAGTAGGAGCGCTAGAGCGTGACCGTCCTTCCAGGTGGACAGCGGTGGCACCGACAGTCGGGGCGTACTGGTGGGGTGGCTTCGGGGAAGATAATCAAGGGCTAAGTGTAGCTTTTATGGTCACATGAGCAGGCTGGCACCGTGGTACTGAGCAGGGTGCTGGCCCTAAGGGGTTGGCGTTAACAGATGCTGGGAAAGTTGTCGCCACACTGGACACATCGGATGAGGTCAGCTTGAAGAGCGCAGAGGGCCACAGGGCTGAGGACGGAGGTGTGGCGAGTGAGTGCTCCCACTGAACAGGCAGGAGGAGGTAAGTTGAAGCTGTGGGGACACCGGCAGTGGGGACATCGGCTGGGCGGGTGAGCGCAGCGGTGGGGGAGGCAGAGGGAAACCGCATGTAATGGGCCTCAGGTGAGAAGCGCCCAGTTCGCGGCCTTTCCCCATGGAGCAGCGTGAAGGCGCCATCAGAGAGGAGGGGAGCACGTTCCGCACTGGAGAGGCTGCGGCAGAGCTGGATGCAAAGGACTGTCGCCCCAGGAAACAGGCTCCAAGGCCAAGGCCTCGAATCTGCAGGTGGAGCGCACACGGAAGGGACCCCTCACAGCGCCCGCCCGGAAAAGGCCACGAGAGCCAAGGACGAGACGCGGCAGCACGGTGAGGCTGCGGCCACCTGTGAAAGGCCTGAGGAAGCTGCCCGAAGAACCAGAAGCGCGGCTGTCAGGGACAGGAGCAGCCGCTGGCCTCCATCGAGCAGAACTGGGCCCCGGTGAGACGGGGCTGTGAAGCCTCCCGGGCGGCAGACGAGCGTGTCCACGGCCGTCGTGCATCCCGCCCGGCGGGAACCGCCTCTCTCGGTTGCCCGGTCATCACCAGTTTCCTCCGTCACGAGGCAAAGAAC